AATATTATTGAATTGTATTATTTGTTATTCTATTAATATTATATATGAATAAACAAAGATACATTTGCAGTTTTCTTTTTCCTTGGAATAAAACTGTTTTATTATATGTATTTATGATTTACAAGCCAAATACTCTTTGTTTTAAAGCTGTTGAGTCATATTTTCTAATGTACTAATTTCTTGATCCAAATGTTTTTAAATTTTTGCAACATTGTTCTATAATTGTATATAGACATCTTTGAATTATATCCTTAATTGATTGTTCACTTGTATCAATTCTTTCATAAATTAGATCATTTTTGTGAATCTAATACAATCATTGAAATGTTCTGAATGTGGTGAATCTTTAGTATTTAAACATTCAAAACAATATTGAGTTGTATTTTAACAATCCCAATTCAAACAAAATCCAATAACTTCTTCATTTTCATGAGGAAGATATTTACACTTAAACAGATCCATTTAAGTATATAAAATTAAAATAAATAATTATTTAACATACCTAAATATCCATATATTTATAGCAAAAATCTCATTAAATACTATTTCAATAGACTAATATCATTCAATTTAATATCCTCATTAAATTCATTATTCAAATATTATTTAATTAAATTTTCCTTTATTTCCTACAATCTCTTTATTATTTTTTAATTTCCATTTGTCCTAATAAGGAGGTCAATTATAGCAAATTAATAAAATACTTAAGTTTTTTAATATTTGATATTAAAAAACATGGTATTCAATATATTTCATCTTAATAACATTATTTTCATGGAAATGAGAGTAAAATGAGTTTATAAATCATAAATGCATCTTTTCATCATTTTCTTAAATTTTAATTTAGGACAGTTGATATTGAGATGATAACATTATATTTAATCTCTCTTGAGTTTACAACCTATAATATTAAAGCAAATCCTGAGTTAAAATTAGCCATGTTGCTATAAGTTTTGGATCATTAAATAATCATCAATGAAAAAATCAATTGATTTTAATATGAATGAGATGTATATCATCAATCAGCATAATTGACTTTATGATATAATAATTCCAAAGACTTTCTTGATTGATTGGTATTGAAAGTAAATTATATGATAAATTCAGCTGATTGGAAATTTACATTATAATGCCTATTACATGAAAATCTTCGACAGCCATCCATTCTAATTGCTTTATAAATAATATTGCTGGGATTTTCTTTATTTTATATTTAGAAGAATGTAATATTCAAATAACCTGGTAAAACAAGCACTTTATTAATTATTTTTAATATTTGAGATATTGTCTCATTTTATTGCAGATCGCATGATGATCAATACTGCAATTTGAAAGAGGTATGTTAAAAAATGAACACTTTCTATTAATTACCAAAGCATATTTGGAGGATCTAGCAAAGAAATTATCATAAGTGAATATTTTAATTTTTTATAACCTATCTCATCAAGTTTACATGTACATCCTTCTAAGCAATATAAAAAACAATTGATTATGGTTATTGAAAATATTGGTTTGATAGGAAGGTTATATGTAAAATGTATTATAAATAATCTTGAAAATATAGTTATCTATTATTTAGGGTGAAATATAGTTTTTACAAAGATTAAGCTATCTTTCAAACTTTCTAAAGAATATGCTTACAATAAAATGAGAAGATCAATATAGTAACAACCTAATTAAAAATGATAAAGAGATTGTAGGAAATAAAGGAAAATTTAATTAAATAATATTTGAATAATGAATTTAATGAGGATATTAAATTGAATGATATTAGTCTATTGAAATAGTATTTAATGAGATTTTTGCTATAAATATATGGATATTTAGGTATGTTAAATAATTATTTATTTTAATTTTATATACTTAAATGGATCTGTTTAAGTGTAAATATCTTCCTCATGAAAATGAAGAAGTTATTGGATTTTGTTTGAATTGGGATTGTTAAAATACAACTCAATATTGTTTTGAATGTTTAAATACTAAAGATTCACCACATTCACAACATTTCAATGATTGTATTAGATTCACAAAAATGATCTAATTTATGAAAGAATTGATACAAGTGAACAATCAATTAAGGATATAATTCAAAGATGTCTATATACAATTATAGAACAATGTTGCAAAAATTTAAAAACATTTGGATCAAGAAATTAGTACATTAGAAAATATGACTCAACAGCTTTAAAACAAAGAGTATTTGGCTTGTAAATCATAAATACATATAATAAAACAGTTTTATTCCAAGGAAAAAGAAAACTGCAAATGTATCTTTGTTTATTCATATATAATATTAATAGAATAACAAATAATACAATTCAATAATATT